AACCCTAATCCAACGAATCAGACGAGGCCCAACAAGGCCCAATACTAACACGGTTTAAGTAACCGCAACAGAGAGAAAGCGAGCTAATTGTGCAGTTGGGCTTTAAATGGAGTTTCATCCCCATTGTTATGTAGTTGGGGATTTAAATGGCGCCTAGGGGATTTTTGTTTGTTTCAGACACACAAAGAGAGAGAGATCACTGGCGCCGGAAAAGGATTTTCCGGCGACAGTGCTGGTGATGTTTGTTGACCTATTCTGTATGTTTGTATAGATTCGGTTTGTATTGTTTATCATTCTTGTTTGTAATTTATAGTGACACTTGGTACGGTTAGTGTGCTTTGTATTGTTTGTCGGTTTATTTTGTAATGTTTGTACGTTTTGTTATTTTGTAATGTTTGTCGGTTTCTTTTGTAATGTTTGTAAGCTTTGTTAATTTTGTGCACCATGTTTATCATTTTTGTCAACCATGTTTGTAATGTTTTTTATGTCTAAAAAACAACATGGTTGACTTTTGAATGAAACTCCTCTATATAGGGATGAAGTCTCCAAAGTCAACCCGGGTATTTTTTCCAGTTTGTATGGATTGTCGTTCTAGTTTGTCATTTTTTGTCTACCGTGTTCGTAATGTTTGTATGTCAAAAAAACAATCGGGTTGACTTTGGAACGGAACCCTCTATATAGGGATGGAGTCTCCAAAATCAACCCGATTGTTTTTTCCTTTTTGTAAGGTTTGTATTGTTTGTCGGTCTAGTTTGTATTGTTTGTACATTCCATACGTTTGTAATGTTTATAAATTTGTTTGTATTTTTTGTCGTTGTAGTATGTACTGTTTGTATGGTTTGTACTGATTGTAAGTCCGGTTTGTATACTTCATAATTTTCCATAATACCCAAACTATCCTGTCATTAATTAAATAGTCATTCCCACTTTTTAACCGTAAGATTGCTATATTTAGATCTAAGAACTGAAAAGGACTTAATCAAGTGACTAAGTTAGTCACCGCATCCTCCCTCTCGTCCAATGGAAAGTTTGGGTCCAAATTTTAGAGGAACAAATTGGTCGGCCCAATTATTCATTTATTTGTCCTTTATGGGCTTAAAATTTAGAGGTGCTCATTGACGCAAATGCCCTTCCTGAAATCATGGGCTGGTTTGCGGTGCTTGACGTGGCAAACTCCTATGCGCTCCTGTATATTCATGGGTGAATATATATATGGCAAAAGCTAGCGTACACCAGGTGTACGGTGTACGTCTGCGTTCACACCTATAAATTAATTATTAATTGCTTTTAATTTAATTATAATTAAGGTAATTATTAATAATAAATACAATTGCAATTATATCCCTTCATTAATGGTTGTTCACGATTTAGTTCCATATAAATTTTATCTTACATTCTCCTCATATCAACCCCTTAACTAACAATCATATATATTATAGTACCTTTTTCCAAATTATAAACTTAAAACACCCAAACTTTATAAATATATACAACTTCAATTTCTTAAAACACCCAACCTTAAAAACATGACGTTTGCCTTCTTCTACTTACCACTGTTTAAAAAAAAAATCCTTATAGTTCCCTCAACAGGTCGTATCTCTCGCCGACGGTGATAGTTTGCAGAATCTCCGTCGAGTCCCAACATCTATCTTTTAATTTAGTTTTGGGTGAAGATGAGAAAACATTTGGTTGATCGTAGTGGAACGATAGAAGGAACTTCCGGCAGCGACTCCAGCTCCGGTTAAGAAGCAGCAGGGCGTTTCGGATTGGAACCGCTGCCAGGGAAGTCGAAAAGCCGCTTCGGACATGCTCCAAGGTCGTCGACTGGTATGAAGAATCGAGGGTGCCTGAGACTGGACGACGATCAATCGCTTTGCTCTTCCCTCTTCCCGCTAGCTCTCTTGCCCGACACCATTCTTCCCCTACATTCTCCTACTCAAAATCCTCTCCTAATCGCCGCCGACCTCTTCAACCACCCCCTCTCCCCGCCGCCGATGAATGAATTTGTCGATACAATTTTAGGAAGGATAATTTATCTGTTCGATTTCTGGGCCTGTTCGATTTCTGGGTTTTGGTGAAGAATATCCAGATTTGGGTTTCTGGTAATAGGGGCGAAGCTTGTGCAGTTGAGCGCCCTGAAATTTAATGAACTCAAGCGACTGTCGGATTGGGGATTCCCTGTACTATTTCGATGAAATCGATAGCTGAAGGTGGAGATTCCAGCTCCCGATTGACCACAGTCGCTTGAGTTTTGTCGAAGGGGATGGGATTAATCGGGGGAGATAAAGGAACAGAGGATTGGGAAAGAGAAGGGGATGTGGCGAATGGGGATTGTGTCATCGATGGTGAGCCGATCTGAATCAGGGGAGATAAAGGACCATAGGATTGGGAAAGAGAAAGCACTCTCTCACCTCTGAATTCTGATGAAGAAGACGAAAGAGATGTGATTAGTGAAGATAAAACGGTAGATGAGTCGTAAATTGAAAAGGCATGAGCAAGTGTAGATAATTTTAAAGTTAAGGTGTTTTAAAGTTATGATTGGGAGAAAAGGGTACTATAATTTATATAAGTAGTAGTTAAATGATTGATTTGAGCAAAATGTACAATAAAAATTGATATGAGACTAAAACGTATACAACAATTAATGAATGGGTATAATCGTTATTATATTTATTATTAATAATTAAACTAATTATAATTGTATTAATAATTAATTAATAGGTGTGAACACAGGCGTACGCCAAACACCAGGTGTATGCTAGCCTGAACCATATATATATATATATATGGCAAAGGCTAGCGTACGCCCGGGCGTACCTTAGTCTACCGTACGCCCGTTGAGTTTTGCTATTTAGAAAATGAATTAACCAAAGTTTGGGACATGATATTATATCATAACCCCTAATGAGTGAACCCCAGTCCCAATTCACTAATCCAAAACATAATATTCATTTAATCTTGAAATGAAAATCAACGGTCTTGATTTGTCAAAATTATTGTTGATTTACTTTTTAAGATTAAACGAATCTCATGAGTTGGGTTAGAAAATTAGGGACTGGGGTCTATCCATTAGAGGTTAAGATATAGTATCATTCCAAAAACTCCGGTTAATTCATGATCTAAATAGTAAAACTCAACGGGCGTACGATAGCCTAACGTACGCCCGAGCGCACGCTCATTTCATTTTACAATTTTAAGTTTTAATTAACCAATTTAAAGGAAAACCGGAATAGAGGGGTGCGCCTGTGGCATGATCCATGATGGGAGCAGTGAGAATTAATATTGTTTTTTTAGGCTAGGATATATATTGTTATTAATTATTATTACATCTAAATCTAAATTGGTATTTTCCCATTTTTATGAATATTTTGAACCAAAGGCATTTCAATTCACATGTTTGTGGTTATTCATATAAGAATTAATACATGTTAGAAAATAAACATTCAAGTTTAAATTTTTATTTGCCAAACGGGAGTATATTTCATTGAAAAGCTAAATTCATGGTTTAATCTGTACAACCTAATCAATTTTTACCATCAAACAGTAGTTTTGTGTTAATACAATAAGCATGTCAACTATCATCAAGTGAGTGAGTATGATGATGTGTTTACACATACAACTAATCCTGCAGGAGTGGAAACAAATTAAACTATTTTAATGCTACTAATGAAAAGAATAGTTTACAACTATAAGTTACATGAGAAAGAGTATGAATATGAAATATACTAATTTTCGCACAATTTTGAATAACACATTCACAAAAAATTTCTAGAATGACAACACTAAAATAATTGGAATGTCATATTAAAATTGATTAGGAGGAATTTTAAAATACTATATAGCATTGGTGCTATAGGTTTTTACCTTTATGGTACAACTTGAAATTGTACCTTTAACAATATGGTACAACTTCAGATTGTACCTATACTTGTACAAATTCTTTTATGGTACAACTTAAACCTGTACCTTATGTGATGGTACAACTTCAAGTTGTAAAGTTGTACCATAACATAGCGCTACAAATTCCTTTATAGTATAACCTAAACTTATACATTTAATGTTATGGAGTTGTACATTAAAGCACCAATGATATATAGCATAGTAGAAGTGCTCATTGATTAGTGTTAAGGAAAAATGAAACTCACCAGGGGCGGATACATGCATGTTTAGGGGTGTCCCGGGACACCCCTAAAATTTGGAAACACGATTATTCAACCTCCGATAGTAGTTTGTATATGAGAAAAAAAAAATATTTAAGTGGTAGTGGGACACCCTTAAAATTTGGGAAAATGATTATCCAACCTCCCATAGTAGTTTGCGTATTCGTACAAATAATACTTTAGTAGTAGTTTATGTGATTTAAACTTGAGACACTGTCACTATTAGTAAACATATTTTCAATTACACTGCAACTCATTTGTTATTGTGTTTTAGATCCAAATATAATAGTAAAATGTTATTCTTATCCCAAATTATTTTTAAAACCTAACGAGTAAACCCAATTACCGGATACCCTTTTCTAGTAGGATATGTCGAAAGATCATTGTTGAGCAGTATGAAAACCGAATGTATTTTACCATTTTATGAAACATGTCTGAACTTTTAATGTAACTTTTATTAGTCAGATATTTTCATATTTAATAATTATTTAATTTAATTTTAATATTTAATTTAATTTAATTTTTGAAGTCTCATTTGTTATTGTGTTTTAGATCCAAATATAATAGTAAAATGTTATTCTTATCCCAAATTATTTTTAAAACCTAACGATTAAACCCAATTACCGGATACCCTTTTCTAGTAGGATATGTCGAAAGACCATTGTTGAGCAGTATGAAAACCGAATGTATTTTACCATTTTATGAAACATGTCTGAACTTTTAATATAACTTTTATTAGTCAGATATTTTCATATTTAATAATTATTTAATTTAATTTTAATATTTAATTTAATTTAATTTTTGAAGAGGACACCCCTATGTAGAATTTCTGGATCCGCCACTGAAACTCACCCATGGGCGGGCTCAAAACTAGTTACAAAGAAACACTTTTGCAGCAGAAGTAGATAGAATTCCAGGCTTTTCCCAAGTTTAACTCGTTTCTACTTTAAACAAGACCGACTCCTACAAATTTCCAGTGGACTGGAGTAAAGGTTTACAGTCTACATAACAGAATGAAATCACAAACCAAATCCTACTACGCAAATAACCATGACAATTTTTTTGTACTGCTTAGAAACCATCATAACCATCATCACGCTCATGCTCCAACTCTTCTTCATAATCATAACCATTATTATCGTCTTCTTCGTCAATCATTCCTAAATCATCAATATCGTCTTCCTCGCCTAATTTGTCATCTTTTCTAGCTGTATGTAGAACCGCATCCTCGTCATCGTCCGAATGAGACTCACTTCTTGGTTTCTTTCCTCCGTTCGTACTCTGCACCGGAAAAACGTCAAACACAAAACCATTACTTGCAGGGAATGAACAAGAAAGAATTTGATGGATTAGATTCTTGCACTAGAGTACTAGTGCTACGGTGGGAAACGGTTTTGCTCATCACACTCTATCGAATCGCATTTGATCAAATCGGCATAGGGATCAAGCCGGACTAGACCACATGTAATTCCAATCGGCTGCAATTCCAAGGTTACTCTAGAAAATAAAGGGAAAAGTCGACTGGATCAGAAGTTGCTGAACCAAAGTTTTCTCATTTTGATCCGATACTATCACAAAGTGGAACCATAATAGACCAGGACGGACCATGCCCACCCCATCTACTACTGCAATACTGAGAAACCATTATGAAGCTCGATGGAACAAAGACTAGCATTCTCTATCGCATTGTTTAAGAGCATTAACAGAAAGCTTGAAGGAAATAATACATACAGTTTCTTCAAAGAGCATATCCAACACAGTAAAGTTGATCTTTGAGCCGAGCCTCTGCAAGCAACTCTATTCAATGTTAGAAACAGAAAGTGGGACAGTATAAATTCATTGGCAAAAAAAGAGAGGGGAAATAGTGGAGGTCCATGCATTACAAAGCCATAGACAAAGCTCATCAGCCTGTAAAATCTTTACATACAAGGGTGTACAGCAGCAAGCATTGGGATGAAAAACAATTCCTGCCTTGCAGCAGTAATACTCTACTGCACATTGGAGTGTAGAAAAAAAAGTATCATCAATTAAAATACCTTCTTAGTGAACATTCTGTGGACTGCTTCTTCAGCAGTTTGGGCAGGAGTTGAGTTCTTTGCATCTGCAGCTCGTTTTTTCTGTTTTTCCTGTCAAAGAAATCAACAGGGATTCAGGAAATAATTTGAAGATATCACAATTCACAACAAATGAACACCACATCGCACAAGAATTTGTAACGAAAAAGTAGCACAATGATGTAGAAAGTACCTTTTTGGATTTTTCCATAGCTGCTAGAACAGCAGCATAACGTTCTCTGGCCTCGGGCGAACAATTCTCTAAATTAGCCTCCTGAGCTTCCTTCAGAGCTGCTGCATCTGCTTCTTTAGCAGCTTGTTCCTGCACATCATTAATAAGTATATAAGAGTCGCCACCGGGTACAGACAAACACAAGGATATAAAGCTGATCAGCAAACACAAGAACTTTGGAGTCCAAAACCAAACATAGTAGCAAGCTACTCTCCAGCTTTCAAACTATGCTCCCAATGGTATGGTGGCTTCATGGGATCCAATGTAGCAGGAGATTGGTATCATGTGATATACTCAGCATAATATACAGAAGCTAATAATACCATTACTGTTTCTATTGACTCTGTAATAACTGAAGGAAACCATCACAGATTTGAGCTGGTTTGATATACTCGAGAAACTTTGAGGTTGAGAACTTAAAGTGCTAGATGGAGCAAGCGAGAAACTGTAATAAATTTCCTTTTTTTTTTTTTTTTTTGAAAGCACAGTTCAACTACCTCGAGATATTCCCAGTTGGCTGCTTCCCACAATTCTTTTTTCAATGGCTTCTCACTTTCACTGTGAAGGTATTCGTTCACCTGCAGGTATCAGGGCGAGAGACTCAAATCGCATTCAGAAATCACAATCAATAAAAAATACTCCAAATTCAAAATGACTTTCCAAATTTTAAATTTCCATCTTGTGTTGGCCAAAATAGTATCATGGCAACACAGTGATACAGCTGGTAAATGTGCAAGTTTAGCACCTTCAAGGCTAAGGGTTTTAGATGACCTGTGAAAGCAGATTAGAACAATGCTATGGGTAGTGTGAACTTTCACTGTTATCTTTGACGAAATTGCTTTTTTTCTTCTTCTTCTTCTTCTTTTTGGGCATAGAGGAGACATCAAAACACAAACATAAGAAAGGGATAACTGAAATGTTCATTATTCACCTCATCATCATCTATATCAGAGAAGTTGTCTGATCCATCATCATCTGTCCCTTTCGATCTCTCATCATTACCACCCTCATCTATGTCAGCAGTTGATATCCCTGAAGTGTTTATTCCAACGTGATTGAGACAACTAGTGAACATAGCATAATCATCATTCAAATTTGTGTTAAAAGTCAGAAAAGGTAAACTTACCAACTGTTCCTTGATCAACCAATGGCGTAATCTCCTCTCTGTACAAGTCTTGGTCCTCCTAAGTGAAGGAAACAAATATGGATACGACTAAATGAAATCAAAGCCAGTGAAATATAAAAATGATAAAATGGCCAACGAACATAGAGCTACATAGCATCTTGAAGCCAGTTAACAGAAAATTCCCACTTCAGCTATGAAAAATTATACTTCACTCTACAATCTAAGATAACTTACACCCTATAAGTAATGCAAAGGTTCTTTTTACAGAGGGCTGTAGGTGCAATCGCACCCATCTGATGCAACAAGAAAGCTATTGGAAGTCTTAGCCACCTTGAGCCACAGTACCCAGTCCCCGAATAAAAGGAGATTGAATAGAAAAAGCAAGAGAAAAAACTCGTAATAGATTTTAATGAGTGCTTCTGCAAGCCATTTTGTGAAAATGACGTACATGTTTGCCAACAAGCCATCAGGCCTACAGAACTTTCAGTAAGCATTTCCATCTCCACATCTGAATTCTTATAGACCAGATAGTGACAACCACAACTAATAAAGCAGAGGTCATGCCAATGACGACTTCAAATTTCAAATCAATCAAGCCTGGGTAAGCAGTACAGACCGTATTTCTATCATCAGCTTTCTCCATCTTTTCCATTCTTTGCCTCTCAGCCTTTTGGAAAGCTGGAGGATCTGATCCGCCATCAAATCCTATGACCTGAATCAAAGCAGATAGTGGACACATGAAGTATAATCTCTAACTTCCAATGCAGTGAAATAATTAAAACTACTTTGAAAAAATAATTCTTTATCTAGGAAAATGCAAAACCCACAAATGAATGACAAGATTTGCAAAGTCCATGAGCATAATGCTGGCTGATCCCCTTGTGCTTACAAAGCAACTCTCTTTCCTTCATCCCAGAACTTGGTTCAACGGGACTCTCCATGAGCTCCTCTGCCTTTGCATTCAGTTCATCAATCTATATTTTTAAGAAACAAAACAAAACAATATATCGCCATCAAATTAAACAGAAATGAATAAATATATGAAACATTAAGCTGTAACGTTAAGTAGAATGAGCTCAAATTTCAGAACCAAAAACAAGGTGATGTCCTTTGTAATTTAAGAATACAGAAGAATTTTCTCAAAATTTAAGTTATAGCTGGAGCTCACACTTAAATAAATATATTGATATGCTTGAAGATATAAACCACGTGACAATAAAAGCATGAACTCCATCTGATGAAGGTCCCTACTCATAAAAATTCATTAAGGTATACCCATGTAACGAGATATCATCCATATACAGGTGGAAATAGCCAGAACCATGAGTTATTCTACAGGAAACCTCAAAGAGGTATGAGGACTAAGCATTGAAGGAAGAATTAGTGTTATGAATACAGCTTCACTGATCGCATCTCAAAACAAATGGTGGACACTTGCAAACAGAAGAAAGAAACAAGTATTATAGCAAGAGATTTGCAAAAGGAACAAGCCATTTACAATATCACGAGTGAGGGCCCTTGCTGGTTTGACTATGAAAATATTAGAAGAATAACACAGCATTACAAACTGAAGTGAGCTATAAATTCAAACACAACGTGGAGTATAGAAAAGAAGGTTTGGCTACTCATATCCTGCTATGCACCAAGAGGAAATGGCTCCCTTTGAAATTACACAATACCCTCTTGAAACAGAAGCATGCAGAAAAACCAGCTCAAGGCAGGAAGAAACTATCTCATAGCCTTACAGTCAGAGCAGGACACGTTTCTTTCCATAAACTTCCAAAGATCTTATTTTTCAAAAACTCCCTGACATTGCAAATACATCAGAATGAAAACCTTGTAAGATGAACTCACCATTAAGTCGGCAGATTAAGTTGGATTTTACTGAAAGAAACAAGCTCAAGGAAAAAAATTCAAGGATTTTACTGGTAAAAAATATTTTAAAATATATATAACTAACTGCACAAAATGAAGTAAACATCAAGGAGAATGCCAGTAAAAGCATATTATAATTTGGTTCACTACAACACTTGTCATTTTCACAGACCAGTAAACGAAGAAGAACTTTAAGGAAACATACCGTCAAGGCGCTGGATTCCGTATTCTCAAATTCAACCAATCGCTTTGAAAGTGTTGCTCCACAAACATGCACCAACCTTAACTGCATGAAAAGTAGCATTACCCTCAAAACAGCTTCATACTGAATATTGACAAAAATAGTAAACAATACTGGCAAGTTTTTCCAAAACGGATTGTCAACCAAAAATCAAACTTAACAGTTTGGATAAACCTTCTCGTAAAGAAAAAGAAAGACCATAAAAGCTAGTCCAGAAAGAGGATTTTTCACAAGCAGCATACTGAAATATCAACATACCAAGTCTGACTAAACATAAAGTGAAGGGAGTCTCTTTTTTGTTTTTTTGTTTTAGAGAAAAGTGAAGGAAGTCATTCAAGAAAATAAAAGTGAAAGTAAATTAAGCAGAAGTGTGAATTCATTGGAGAAAAGACATGTAATTTAGAACACAGGTTATGTCAAATGTGGAGCAAGCCCAAGGCAGTGGCATTGTGCGACCAACTTCGTTCTACATGTCTTAACGAAACTCTTTGAACTCCTACGCATCTTCTACATGTCTTAACATAAACATCCAACTCTTCAGCTAACATGACGGACGTCAAGGTGATAATATAAAAGAAAATTTTTCCATGTACCAGAAATCTAATAATTTAACAACAACCTCCTGCCAATCTTTCATAAGAAGAAAACCTTTCTAAACTTCTCTTGACACCCTTATTTATTACAGTGGGACGGATGTTTACCACTAAGAATAATATAACAGTGGCTCGATCTCCAATAGCCCTATTAGCCAGAATATCTAGATTTCCTATGTCAAGAAGGAACAAAAGCTACAAAACGTTTATGAGCATCAATGTAATAGGCATGAAACAACATCAGATGCAGGTAGAACTTACTATGTCGTCAGAAGCAGGTTTATGACCATAAGCATAAGCAGCAATGTAGAGTGCAGCACCCCACAGCCCACTGGGCCTTCTTCCTGTCTGTTAAGTAGTTAAATCAGAGAGTCCTCAAGCATTCTTTAAACAATCATATCAACATAAGAACGACAGTCACCTGCATCCAGTCACGATTCATGCTTGCAATAATGGCAAGGGCAGTATCGGAAATTTCTTTGATTTCACTTTTATCATTTGTCAAGCCTACACAGAAGACAAATCATCATATGCAACTACTTGATATAAGTATGGGAAGGGAAGAGACATTCATCAGAACACAACTCAATAGATCGAAGGTCGCCTACATAGTCAGAGAGGTGCAAACAATTTCTTCCACAGCGAAATATCTATTGAAGGTAAACTACACTATTGTTACAAGAACATCAGAAAGCTGTTATGAATACAATAAATCACGACAAGTGCACTGGAATAAGGATTCAATCAAAAAGTAAACCTATATCACCCTTATCGAACGAAAAAGAATGATTCAATAAAAAACAAAAGAGAAGGGGAAAGATTTCAAGACAAGCTGATGAAAACATAGTAATTTAATACACATTTCAACTAGCAATGGCAAATATTGACTAGAAACTCTAAACTTTTCTAGAGGAACTGAATTGAAGCTAAGCACTTGGCAGGCCAAGCAATAGAGAAACTGAACTTAGCAAGAAAGAATTGAATCTAGGGTTTTTTAGGGTTTTGGAGATACATTTCTATAATATGGTTCTTGATTGATTCCATCTGAATGAATGCCAAGTACATATTTATAAGGAAATACTGGGAAAAGCTCAAATAATCCTAATACTAAGGGAGTACTACTAAACCTAATAAGTAATCCTAATAATAATTTAAATAATAATTATTAGTGGAAGACCCTGTCTCCCTCATAGACCGAGTTTCCAGCATGAGTCCAATGACTTCTTTCTCCCTTTATTCTCAATGAAACATACAAGGTGTGCCGTCCATTTTAATCTCAGGTACTTGCATTACAAAATTTCAGACCTCATTATAAAGCCAAAAAAACACACAACATTACAGACTTGCAGTACTCAAAGTTACTTACTGGCTGTATATTTGTGGATGAAAATGGAAGGATCGTGCAATTTTTGACAAATGGGATGCTCTGTCAGGTGCAAAACTTGGCAGAGCTGCAAAAAGACTGCACCTAGCACATAACTGCAATGATATTAATATAGAGAAGTAGTTTTATCCCACTCAACTAAGAGCATAATGAAGATGAAAAGAAGGTAAATCTTGACATGTAAGATCAGGCCCACTCACACATTTATGTGCAAGTAGTTTGAAAAGTCAATTAGTAGATACGGCTTCCTGTTTTCCCTGCAAATGAAATAAGGGTCAAACCCATTTCAGCCTGCTGCATTATGTCTTGCTCTTGTTGACAGTGGTTTAAGCATATTTGTTGGTTCAGCACTATTTCAGCAAATGCAATGAAGTCCTTACCGGCATGCAATATAAAGACATGCAGCTTGTACTTGTTCAGTTCTTCGGCCCCTGGTAAAACCCCGCTCAACTGCTATCTTCACAAGCACGTAAAACAAATTAGAGCAAATAACAGTGTCATGTGTAAGGACCAAGAACAAGAAACATACTCGATAGAAATCCAAAGCTTGGTTAGCTAAGGTGAGATTTTCACCCATGCCTAATCCGTTCTTCATCATTATCAAATCATCTAAAGCTGCACCGTTCAAGCAACAACCAATAAGGGACGATATATTTGAAACCAAAGAAGAAGAAGAAAAGTGGATTTCAATGGACCAAGTGAGGACATATCCTAAAGGGTACAAGTCGACAGAAAGAAAACATTACCTCTATCAAACAACCTTTGCCTTGAAAAGCTTTCGTCGTCAATGCTTCTGACTAGTCTTCCTGCCAATTGGCTCTTCAAAAATGAAAGAAGACTTAACTTTCAGTGCAAGAATGAGAAACAAGTAGATAGCATTAGAACTAAAGGTGATCAACCTCATCCTAACTGCATCAAGTTTGCGTTTTAAGACAAGAAATGTATGATATGTGAAATATTCAATTCACATATTTTAACTTGCTAAAGTGCTATTTATTATGGATCAGAGGAAAGGAGACACAATGAAAGAGGGGAAGAGAGATAGCACTTGCAGAAACAATAAATATAACCAACATACCACCAAATAGATAAATTCATGGAGTACTACACATAGTTGTTTACCAAGCTTTCCTAACAATAGTCACTAAGGGAAGAGGGGAAAAAAACATACCGAGTAATATGATCATCAGAACTTACACGGAGTCCTCTAAATAAAAGATAATTCCAGAACTCAGTACATTTAATAGGAAAATACCCACATCAAGGACTGTAGATTATTTTGGGCAAGAAAGTTTTAACCTGATTCTTGCACCTAACCCAACTATATGCGACATGAAACCCCAGATAATAAGTAGATAAGCGTCAACCTACGAGATAAACAACCGACCCAAATGCTAGACACGTTACTTTACAAGTCGGCCAATAAACAGAAGCAGCTAATATAACAGTGCCATGAACCAAATTAAAGTGCACCCCTGAGCAAAAGCATTAACCCATACCTGTCCAGCGGAATTTTTAACAAATGTGGCCTCAGTTGAATAATTATCGAAGGTCAAAACTTTTCCACAGTCATCACAGGATCTGCATTAACACAGAGAAGCAGAAACAGTGAAGCAGAGGATAGAAGCACCAAGACAAGAAGTTAACTCCACAGACCCAGATTTTACATCCACGCACTATAAAACTTCGAAATTTCACAATTGATTAATCAAACGAAATCAACATTGACAAAAATAACAAAGACAGAACGCAGAATAAACGAGTCGAATAACTTACAAGAAACCATTGGAATCCCGGTTCCCGACAGTATTCTTCGCACAGGCCGAACAGTACGGCATTAGGATAAGAAAAGGGAGAGCTCGACGGAAGAACAGAAACTGACACCGGAATCAACTGATCGATCAGGGGTTTATGAATATGGTTGCATTGCCCTAGCAGATGCAACGGGCAACGCAAAATCTCAGCCGGCCGCAACAACTAGCGCCGTAAACTGAAACTCAGTGCACCGAAATTGATAAATAAAAAAAGAACAATGAGAAGAAAGCAATTAGGTCTCGAGCTCGTAGACTGACCAGCCGCCGATTTTTTGTCTTGAAGCTCTTCGGCGAGAATGAATTGAGCTGAGTGTTCTTTCTCGTATCGTATGCAGGGATTCTGGTAAGGGGGAAACGCCGTTCAAGGGTTTTCTTATCGAAGCTTGGTGGCGGAGAGAAGGAATTCTACTTCTGTGGAAGTGGGGACTGGGGACGTGACCCTGAGTTCGCGGGGTAGTTCGTTACTTTGGTTTTCCGCTTCTGGCACTAAAATTTTGTTATATAGGTCCAATTAGGTACTTGAAATTTTAATTTGGTTGATTTGCTCCCTTCTCACACAAGCTTCGGATACGGTGAGTAACCAATGATTAACTGACTTATTAGTAACTAAATCTCCACATTTAGATTCTAAAGATTATGAATTAAAGATATTTTCTAAGTGGACCCAGAAAATCCAGATCGAAAGATTATGAATTAAAGATATTTTATTTTTTCTAGTTTTATTAATCGGCTCTTATCTTATTCGTTCTAACTTGGATTTCAATTTCTGTTTGCACAGATGGAACGAGTTCGTTGTGCTCTACAAAATGATATCAATTTTCAATTATTTTGAGAATTTTTTTTCATACCTCCCGTTATCAATTACATACCATATGGTAAATTCTTTGTTTTTAAGTCGTTTTTGAAAATATTTGCTCAGGAGGAACGAGTTCATCATGATCTATTGGATCTACAAATTTCTAGGTGATAAAAAATACAGGATCAAAATTTACCCTACTTTACCACTATGGTATGGGGGTGGTAACTTGTGGTAAACTATGATAAAAGTCGTAAATGACTGTTAGTATACTTCTACTATCATGTATTCAACCTTCCTACAGTCTTGGTATGTTCATACCATCATGGTACGCTTTCTTACCATACGGTATTAAATATGATATGTTCATACCATATGGTATTGACTGGTAAAAAATGACTCAATTTTTTTTTTGTTCTAAAAATATATCAAAGTGAATATCATTTTAAAGAGCACAATTAATCTGATTTATCTGTGCAAAAAAATTTAAATTCTGACTTAAAACGAGAGAGAAATCGTTCATTAAAAATTAAAGGGGAAAAGATAAAAAAGCTTTCCATGAGAGAGAGCGATGCTGATGTGGACAGTTACTCATCCTAAGGTTACTCACCTGATATGCTCCCTCTCACACGTATCTTTTTCTTCTTTTGTTTTTCGTTGAATAAGTTTCTTTTTTTAGGAAACCTGATTTATATTATTAATTTACCAATAAAGGGTTACAATCTGCATTAAAGAGCTGTATTAGAAAAATAGGTGGTCTCTCATCCGGTCATCTCACATTTCTTGGGAGTCCTAGTTACACAAAGTGTGGGCTAACATATGGGCCACTTTATTACACTCTCTTTTGGCAAAACTCCACTTGATATTTCCCAATTGTTGAGTTTGGGCCCGGAGTTCTTCACACAGTGTGCCTTCCTCCGTCAGCGACGTCGTTTCTCGTCTGAGTTTGGAGGTAGCCTCCTGGCAATCTGATTCAATCTCCACCAAAGAGTACCCCTTCCTTTCCACCAGTTCCGGCGCAAAAGAAATAGTCTTTAACTCTGCAATCTCCGGGCTCCATTGTCGGCGATCTCGGATTACCGCCACTAGGAGGCAAACTCCGTTTGAATCCCTTGCCACCAGTCCCACTCTCGTTCCCTCACCTGCAAAGACCACCGCATCAACATTAATTTTTACCCATCCTGCTTGCGGTTTCATCCAGAGCACAGGTTCGTTATCCCTTCTTCCTTCATCCTTCTCCCTCACAACTTTGAGTTCCTCATAGTAGGAGATAGCTCGACTCATAATTTCCCGTTCCTTCGCCTTCTTCTTGTTGAACAGATGATTATTGCGCTCATTCCAGATATTCCATAGGATCATTGTGAATGTAGCTAGCATCTCCTCCTCAATTTCCTCAAAGATTTCACAGAACCAAGTTGTACAGGATGGGTCCTCTCCTTTCTCAAACAGTGGCCTGAAAATCGTATGGCAATGGGTCGGGTTGGGCGCGGATAGTGCATATCCGTTACCCTACCCAATATAGCTCGGGTTTTACCCATACCCGTACCCACATGAGAAACGGGTAGAAAATCAAAACCATGCCCATACCCGTTCGGGTTTCGGGTATCCACGGTTATCCATGGGTAATAATTTCTCCTTATAATTCCAACCAATATGTTAACATTCACACGTATACTCACATTACGTAAGAGGAAAAGTACGACAATAATTCACTAGAATGACGAAAATTAATTAAAACAACATAACTTCATGAAAATATTATATTTATATGCTAAATATAAAATATTCTAGAGAAACATAATGATTATTTCTAGACAAAATACATATGCACGTGTATAATCGGGCATGTTCGGGTTGGATAGTGAGATAACCATGCCCACCCATTACCCGCAATATTCGGGTTCGGGTTTTACCCGTACCCACGAAAAATGCTTCGGGTTCGGGTTTTAACCTACCCGATTAGGTCGGATTCGGGTGGATATCCACGGTTACGGATATTTTTGCCATCCCTACTTGAAGATGTGTTCTTGAGTTTCAACTTGGTTGCAAAAAGGGCATTCCACCGCTGCGTCTTTCTTTCACGTTTCAATGTTCTTCCCTGTAGGTAGAATGTTCTGTAGGAGGCACCATAGAAACATTTGCACCTTTGGTGGCACTGGTAATTTCCATATTCTTTTCTAGTCCACTGGATCATAAACCTCTACTTGGTTCAGGTCCATTGCATCCTCTTTCAGCTTCTGTCTCCACACCCAGTAAGCTGATTTAGCTGTGTAATTCCCTTTCTTCTCATAACAACATATCTTCTTATCAGGTACTGGTGTTCTAGCTAGGTAGAGAAATTTCCATAATTCTAGCCTTGTTAGTTGGGGTTAAAGTGCTGCTGGAGCACATTCATTCGCTACTGCTGGTCTGTATGGTCAATAAGCTCCGACACTTTAGCTAGGAGACCTAGCCTTGACACTGGTGAAGTCACCAAGTAGTTGTCTCTGCTACATCCGGTACCCACCTGTCTCCCCACACTTCCACCCCTGTTCCATTCCCTATTCGCCAGCGAACTCCATGTCAAACCACCTCTTGGGCCGCCATTAAACTTCTCCACACATAGCTAGGATTATTACCAATTCGTGCATTGAGGATATCTGTATTGGGATAGTACTAAGCCTTTAACACTCGGGCTACTAAGGAATCTGGATTTTGTATGAGGTTCCAGACTTGTCTTCCTAGTAGGGCGAGGTTAAAAACCTTTAAACCCCTAAAACCCAACCTGTCATGTTCCTTTGGTTTACACAGATTTTGCCAAGCTCTCCAAGGAATTCTCTTCTCTTCCTTTCGCTGACCCCACCAGAAATTCAGTATTGCACTTCTTAGCTCATCCAACACCAAATCAGGAACGAGGAAAATTGACATTCTGTAAGTAGCTTGTGCCTGGGCTACCGCTTTAATCATGATGGCTTTTGCTGCATTTGAGAGACTCTAGCATTTCCATATGATCCGGGCCTAATTTCACATATTTTGCCCCCGGTTTGCTTAGATGTTTGTGCCAAATTCGCTCATTAGAGGTTGGTTTTATGTGAGGTTCTGCGTGTTTGAGTGCTTTTCAAGATTTAATAGGTGGAACCAGCCTCGAAGTGGAAGGATTGGCGAAAAGGATCGAAAACCAGGAGAAGAGGTGAAAAAACGCAAGTTCACGGCTAAAGGCAGGAGTTCACGGTCGCGCAAGACCGTGAAGAAGTGGAGTTGACCGTGAAACGCAAGGCGTCCAGAGCCAACTTGAAGGTTACTGACGCAAGGTGAGTTCACGGTCATTAAGACCGTGAACACAAGCAGTTGCCCGTGAACTACCGTGATCGATGCGGAGCGTTTTGGCGCAAGGCGTGAGTTCATATACGCGTTTGAGAGTTCACGGCCGTGACCGTGAACTCAGCCCCTCTTGTGTTTAAAAGCTGAGCTGCAAGAAAAGAGAAGGGAGGGCCACTTTTTGTGAGAGAAACACTTCTTCTGCATTTTAGAGAGAGAGAGAACCAGAACCAAGAGAGAAGAAGGAGTTAGGGCTAGGCTTCAAAGGAGGTTTTGGGAAGATTTCCCCAAGGAAATCCCAGCTCAAGGTTGAAGAAGAGAGGAGGCATCCCCACAAGATGGTTTCCACCTTTTTCTTCTTTGTTCTTCCCACTTCTTCCATGGGGTAGTCCTACTCCCATTTGGGTGTAGTGAAACCCTAAACCCTACTATATAGTTTTCTTGTATGTGGTTTGAATGATTGATATTGGGCATTGTTCAACTTATTGTTTGAGGTATTTTTCACCATGATTTGGCATGCTTGTGCTTAGCAACTTAGGGGTTGTGCATATTTTGTGCTTAGCATCCTAGGGGTGTGCATTGTGCTTAGCATCCTAGGGTTGTGCATAATTGTGCTTAGCACCCCTAAGTTTGTGCATTTAGGTGCTAGTAATCTAATTTGCCAACTTAGCCTAGTTTAGAGAGGAAAATCCCCCTTTTTAAGGGAGACTTAATCGAGTTGGTTTTCCATCCGCTTTTCAAGCCACCTAAACTAGGTTGAGTTAGGGCAAACCTCAATATTGAATTGAACAAGTCGATTAATCGTGGTTAAACCGTCTGACCTTAGAGTTGAGTGAGGAAGTAAGCCGAATACTGATTGTCTAAACCGAGAGGGTCGAGTGACACAACCTTTCATCCTCACCTCGGTTTAGCAATCGAGATTGTGGTCCCCAACCACATACGCTTTCCTCTGTGGTTCACTATTAGCGTGCCCAAGGCAATCGTTCCATCCCACGTAGCATAGTAGCAGTTTAGGGGGAAGCGAAACCCAAGTGACTTTCCCACAAAAGAGTTTTCAAACCAAATTACTTTTGCTTTCTTTAATTTCAATTGGCAAACCTTTAAACCAAAGTTTTATCGCTAGATAATGATTTCACAACCGAAGTAGGGGTAGACGGACCGACCCGGGTCGATATATAGATACTTGCCCTATACTACGCCCGATTAGAGTTTAAAAACTTGGGCTCTAATTGGGGTTTAATTGTAGTGTAGATTCGAGAGAGTCAAGTTTTTGGCGCCGTTGCTGGGGAAGACGGTCTGTTATTCTGAAAAAGTTGTTGGTTGTTAATCTAGCTTTTAATTTCAAGTGTTGCAAGTGTGTGTTCTTTG